CTATTTAATTCGGTTATCTAAGTTTAGGCATAAATAACTAAGCCACTGGTTATTTAAGCTCTTTAATCAATCTTCATTCCAGTTTCTTTCCATTCCAATTTTTCAAATATTTTTTGAAAAACGCTGTTCAGTATAAAGGGTGATAAAAGTTATTACTATGTTTCAATTAATTAAGGTTTTTAGTTGAGATAAAAAATTCAGTGTCACGAACGGGATTCGAACACACGATCTTCGGCTAGATACGCCGCTGCTCTACCACTTGAGCTATCGTGACCTCGATCCACTCGGGCACTAACTTCCCGTCTCAACCCCACCTTTTGAATTTTCCCTCTTTTTTGCCATTTTTCAAATTAATTGAAAGATATTAATTGGTCAAGCGGACCACGAAAACTAGTGAAGGTAATACTGTGTTTACGTTAAAATATTCCACTTTCACTCTTGACAAATTTTAGAAGTACATACTGTCATTATGACATTTAAATATTTTTTGTCAACGTCTTTTTTTTTTAACCTTGTGTACAAAAATGTACAAATGTTCCCTAATGATCGATAAATGCGATGGATAGCAATCTATCTGATATCCATTTCCTTCGCAATAATTTGATTTAATACAAAGATGCTGTGTACAGTTGAAAACCCAGCTTTGAACCTCGTCTGGTCCACCGGTTGATGTTTTTCTAGTTGTTTTTGTTTTTGTTAAATATCAATTTGCTTATGATTTTACTTGCATCTCACACCGCACATTCACGCTAATAAATACATTCAATCTTAGTGTACACGAAAGATAACACAGAACGAGATGTATCAGTGTGATATGCAATAAAACAGCCCTGTTTCCTCCAAAAATCGGAATAAAGTACTTAAAGGCGCTTTCTAAATCAAGCTAAGTTTAACGTCTTTCAATTAAGTGGGACACATCAGCCAACCTTTTTCTACATGCCAATAATTCATACATTTAAAATATATTGGTATGACATAAATTGACATAAAAACCATCACGGGTAGTTCGACCGATTTATATTCGGTTTATAAAAAACGTAACCTTGGCAAAAACCACTTACACAATAATATGAGCTAAAAATTATATTTACTATTTACTCACTTTGAAAATCGTAAGTGGTTATCGTTGCATTTTTGAAACTTACACGAAAACACTCGATTAGACGAATTAAAATATTAAATCTTTTTTCCTTGTTGAGCAGTTTTTGTTTTTAAATATTTCTGGAAGTTACACGTTTGACAATTACTCCGGGTAATCTTTCGGTAATAAATTTTGATTGTCTTCGAACATAAGTCACATTAAATAAGATACAATTTTCGCCTGTTAAATTACACATAAGTTCACTAGTTTTCGTGGTCCGCTTGACCGATCAATATCTTTCAATTAATTAAGGTTTTTAGTTGAGATAAAAAAGTCAGTGTCGCGAGAGGGATTCGAACCCACGATCTTCGGCTTTTTATCTCAACTAAAACCCTTAACTAATTGAAAGATATTAATTGGTCAAGCGGACCACGAAAACTAGTGAATTTAATAAGTAAAAATGATGTGTACCTTCACCAAAGCTCTCCGTGGCCATTTCATTTGTCGTCGAGAATCAAATAAATTACACGACAGTTGAAAAATGGCAAAAATGAGGGAAAATTCAAAAGGTGGGGTTGAGACGGGAAGTTAGTGTCCGAGTGGATCGAGGTCACGATAGCTCAAGTGGTAGAGCAGCGGCGTATCTAGCCGAAGATCGTGGGTTCGAATCCCCCTCGTGACACTGACTTTTTTATCTCAACTAAAAACCTTAATTAATTGAATCACACAAAAGATTAGGCAGATTTCAATTAATTAATTTAACGCTTAATCGTTAAAACGTAAGATTCAAGATTTGCCAAAAAAGGAAAAGTTTAAAAAACTATTAATGACTTAATTTATCTTAATTACAATTTTCCAAACAGGCCTTCATGCACTTACATAAAATACGCGTTTAAAATATTACACATTTTCTGAATAATTTGATATGTAACTTTCTATTGGCACCCCTAGTTTTCTCAAAATCTTCTCAAACAGGTTTTTCTTTAGCATAAGCTCTAATTTCAAACCTTGTTTTCCTTAAGCATTCTTCCATTTTGTTCGATCTCTTTGATATTTTTCCTGAAAGATTTTTTTATTGTTTAGTAAAGAACAGAATTCTTCTTAAAGGTGTGGTATCCTAGGTACTTGCCAAAAAAATGGCTTTTAGTCTGTTAATAGTCCCAGTTTTTTTATAAAATGCTATTTTCCTCGATCATGTCTTGTAAAAAGTATTACATGATCGGGTTTTTAATTCATTTCAGTTGAGAAGAATATTTGCATGCCTCGGGACTAGCATAGGTGCCCAGTTTTGTTTCTGTAGAATTCGCATCTTTACTAATGTGGCTAATGGAGCTAAAAAAGAAATTTGGGCCTATGAGTTTTTCCGTGGCTTCCTTTTTGACTTGGATGTCTGGCTTGAAACTTGAAATTTCCTCATTTCCCCACTCTAGCTTTAAACTGCTTCTAATCCCAGGTTTTTCTAGTATTCAGGCAGTTTCAGACTAGTTTTGAGTTAATCTCATGGGCTTGGAGATTTTAAGTAGCTGTCTGTCTATAAACAGAGCTGTATGATTAAGTTTCTTATTCCTTTGAATAGCACTAATGCTGCTTTGGAGGAATATTTGAATGCTTCAATAGTTCTACCTCCTAATTCATCTTTTTAAGTGATATTTTACTGGAGCATGTATACATATACCGAAATGTGTAAATATGTTAGAAGGTTTAATGTTGAGTGAGTTTTTTTTTCTTCCATTAAGTTGTCATTGCGATTAATATTTTTATTGACTCATGTCGAGTACGTGCCCAGTATTTGTTGTATTTTCTATTGTAGTACCCAAAAATTACATTTCTTTTTTAATGGACCTCTTGTTTATGGCACAAAATGCTTTTAGGCCTTCGTACTGTTCAGAGGCTCTCTTTTTAGCTAGAGTATCTCCTGTCACCATGCCTAAAATTCCATCATGACCCACTTAAGCGAAATGATTTATGGATCAAAACTTTAGAGTATTCGAGCGGTTCCAGACTTGAGTTGATGGTGCAGGCTTAGAATGGCTTTAACGGCAGGCTGGCTGAGAGCTGTAAAATTTATCTTCTTTTTCCAGGTGAAAAGCATTACTGTTGTTTTGGAGGAATATTTCGACTCATTTCCCGGCACTATTTCATACTTACGCAGTACGTACGTCAAAGCACGTTGTACGCTTTCATCTCAAAATGTGTCCAATGTTTAAATTACTTAACGGCTCTAGGAAAACACATGTTTACTTTAATTGATTTCGGGGACTTGGAGATATGGAAGAAAAGAACAGGCTGAACAACTGGCAAAAAGAGTGGCAGCCATATCACCCATGGACCAGAACCACAAATAGGTGCACCGGAGAGTCTAAGTTGGAACTAGCAAAATGGCTTGAAAAAGAAAAACTCAAGCACTAGACAAAAGCTCCAGTTATGAGGTTGAGAGATTAACAAATTTTTCAAAAAGGAAGGTGAAGGACTTTCCCTCTCTCACAGCAGGCAGGAAATATGAGGAAAATTACAGGCCACTATACCGGCTACTGCCCTCTTAACTATTACCTAAAGAGGAGAGGCGAAGCAGAGACAGAAAAATGCCGGTAAATATTCTTTCTGAATATGAATCATTAGCTCGATTCACAGCCACCTCAGTGAGACAATTGTCGCAGCAAAGGAGGTGAGCTTTGCTTGAGGACAATGCTTAGTCTTTGAGAAAAAAAGTGAGTTTCCACAATAGATTATTATTATTAGATCTATATAGATCGCAGTGGATTTTTAAGATCTTATTCAACCCATCCAAAGATTAAAAAATCCCGGTCCCTACTATCCGCCATAGGCTCAGTGGTTTTTTAGAAAATCAAGTTTTTTTTAGAAAATAACTACTTAACTGCCAAAACTTTTTTTCTGTATTTGGTGGCAATTATACAATTATTTTCTTACTATTCGTTCGAAAGTTACATTTTTTCACCAAAGAATCAAATTAAATCAAATTTTATTGGTGGCAAGCAATGATCAGCAAATTTCTAGCAATGGCCAGCTTACTTATTTCACTTTTTAGAAATAAATCAAGTTTTGAAAGAATCAGACTGTTTGTAATGTTATGAGAGAGAAACACTGATTAATTTAAATTACAACTCGAAATGAGATTAACAAGGATTACACTGAATTGCATGTCCCTCTCGCAAAAACAGCGAGAAAAAGCGGCCCAGGGTTTTGAATAAACCGTTATTAAATGAATGATTAGGTTACGGATCTTTACTACACACATTTTCTCATAAAGTGACATTGAAGGAACGGTGATTATTCGATATCGTAACTCTACCGGAACGCAATTAATGAGGAATTTTCCACCGTGAATAACCGCCTTTTGGTTTACTTATATAACGTCAAATTACGATTATAAAATTTTCCCCTTTAACCAAACAAATCTGTCATTTAATAAGCCAACCGGCTGCCAAGTTAGGAATTCTCTCTTCCAATACCTTTAATGGCGTGGAAAGTTTTATGCCATGGCCGATTGCGAATATAAAGCAAGTAACCGCTTCAAAATACCCCGTTACGACAAAATACGTGTTGATGTCCACTCGAAAACTTTTAAAAAGTACAACGAAAAAGTCTAACACCGGAAAAAGGGAAATCTATCGGCTGCGATACGGCGTTTCAAAAATATCTGAATGAGCTGTCAGAAGAAATCATTACGCCATTAATATTTCTCAAATAATTTCAACCATGACTCAAACTTATCAAAGGCTGTGATGTTTCATGAGTTTTTCCTTCTAAAAGCGTGTAATTTATCAGTTTATTAAAAGAGTCGAAATACCTTAGATACTGGGAATCCAAATAAATCATCAACAGTTCACTATTTCTTGATAAATTCTGCCTTTTATTGACAAGGCATAAAGCAAAATAAATAATACTTACATTTTTGATAAAAGTTTCATGCACAGGGGGAAAAATTGTTAAATATGAACTATGGGCTGTAGTTTCATGTGTTATCGCCAACCAGCACTACCGTTATAATTGAACAAAAAGTAAATTTATCTGTTTCTTATCTGAAATCAAATAATTAAGGAGTCATGTAATACTGCCGGCCGAAGTATGTACGATGTGGAATAATAAATAATTAGTCACCTTTGTGCATTCCTACGTGACCGCGTTTGGTATCAAATGCAAAAAGGCTTCGAGGACGTTTTGGCGACATTGACCGTAAAAATCGACCTACCGACAAGGAGAGTAAGTAGTTCAATGTCGCCCCTCTGATTTAATTTAATTTATTTTATTTTTTAAACAAAAAAATATTCGATCTTAACTGTAAAAAGTTCGTTAAGTAATGAACAATGGTAATAAGCTTTCACACTCGACGAGAATTAGCCTTATTATTTACTTTTCGATTAATTAAGGTTTTGGTTGAGATAAAAAATTCAATGTCACACGCGGGATTCGAACCCGCGACCTTCGGGCTAAATACGCCGATGCTCTACCACTTGAACTATCGTGACTTCGATCCTCTCGGACACTAACTTCCCATCTCAGCCCCACCTTTTGAATTTTCCCTCATTTTTGCTATTTCTCAACTGTCGTGTAATTTATTTGATTCTCGGCGACAAATGAAATGGCCACAGAGAGTTTAGTGAAGTATAATTCATTTTTGCTTATTACATTTATTAGGTTTCGTGGTCCGCTTGACCAAATAATATCTTTCAATTAATTAATCTGAATTTAAGGTATTGGTTGAGATAAAAAAGCAAGTGTCACAAGTGTGATTCTAACCCACGACTTTCGACTAGATACACCGCTGCTTTACCACTTGAGCTATTGTGACTTCCAATTGCAGGACACCAAATTCCCATCTCAACCCTACCTTTTGAATTTTCCCTCCTTTTTGCCATTTTCAAATTTTTTAAATCTTTTTTTTACCAATTGGGAAGTTACCACAAGTGGTAGATCAGCGGCGTATTGAACCGAAGGTCATGGGTTCGAATCCCGCTTGTGACACAGACTTTTTTATCTCAACCAACACCTTAAATACAGATTAATAATTAATAACGATTAATAAAGAGAAGAATTGCACTTTTTATTTCATTCTTTAATTTTCTTAGTTACCACTATGGAGTTTCAGTCGACAGCTGAAACTGAGTTTATGGACAAAGGCATTGGGATGTACGGATATGGATTGACTTTTGCTTCTTCTGCAACAAATGGAAAAGATCTAGGTGTAGGGTGAGGTTTGATTCATAAAATCCATGGTTAACCTGTTTTCTTATGACTTTTGATAAAAACCTATGGATGATTTTGGAAATGGATAACTCTCAAAGTTTGTTATCAGAAGTCCACAAAGGTTTGAATTATTCTTATTTGCAATAGACCGGCCTCAAGTCGCCCGGACGATCTTTAGACCAATCAACTTCAACACCTCGTTTCAGATGGCTATTAAATATCAGGGAATTGGCGGTCAAAGTTTTATAAATGCTTATTAATTAATGGGATTAATGGGAAAAACTCGCATATGGGGACAGGAAAATTTCTTCTAGACAAAGTTTTCCACGATTCGATTTTCTTTGTATACATTTAAGAAACTCCTTTAAAAAATGAAGTGAAAGTAGTGACCGTTTGCCCTTATTTATGTTTTTAAATCCACTTCTACCGGATAAAATTTAGTTTGGATACTCGTTACTTTCAGTTTCAGCATCGAACTTGTCGAACCTTAAAATTTATCCTGTTTCATAATTTTTCTAGGTTTTTTTTTGTTCAAAGAGAGGGCAAATGTTACCACATTTCGGTACCATTTTTTTTTTTCAAAATAATATATCNAAAAAGTCCAGAGGCGACGGTGGGGATCGAACCCACGACCGCGGGATCTAATAACCGAGAGTCTGACGCCTTAACCACTCGGCTACCGCGGCCCCTCAGGTCTCTCTTTTATAACCAATATTTTTTTAATTATTTATTTTTCTAGGAATACTATAATTTGTAGCGATAGTTTAAAAAAAAATAGCGGTGTTTTAATTTTTGGCAGCAACCTAAAATTGTGACGATTAACACATTATTTTTTATAGTAAATTTTTTTCGCTATCATAGCTCGCCTATTACAGTTCAGCATAATGAAAAAAAGAAACGTTTCAATATGAAAAATAATTTTATAATATGCATAAATTTGCCAAAAACACAACCTTTCTGCAGAAACGGTTTGCAGATCTAGCTGGAATTTTGCCCATAAAAGCCAAACTTACGCTAAAAATTCGTTACGGATTGATTCCTCATGCATAGGAATAGAAACATAATAAGAATATAAATAAAAGACATTATTTTTTCAAAAACGTAAGTTCCTCAAGTTAAATCACACAAAACCACTTGATTCGAACCTTTCAAAAAATTATTTAAACCAGTTTTCAAGCTCATAATTCTAATTTTTATTCTGTGCAAAAAAGGTGTTAGTTGAAGTAAAAACCGTCATTTTGTGTTGAAATATAAAAATTAATACATTTGGGAGTCTTGGATGTAAAGTTATTTGTACCCGCTAGGGAAAAAATATCTTTGTATATAAAAATACCTATATATAAAAATATCTACAAGAAAAAAATCTTTCTGTAAAAAAATCTCAATTTCAACACTTAACTGAGACATTTTAAGCTCTTAGTCGATGAAAAATTAGTTTTATTACCTCATCTTTTTAGTTCCAAAGTCATTTAGAGTCCTCAGAAACAATATTGTTTTAAAAGTCCAGAGAAATCCCCTTGTCTGTTTAATATTATGTTTCTTTTCTATAAGGAAAAGCATGAAATGATGTTTGATCATTATTTTTAGGATTTTGGGCAGTTTTCTGCAACCTGATTTTTGTTCGTACGAGTACTAGACCATTTGCAAGGTTGATCTCAAACGTTTCGAATTATTAATTGTTTTTATATGTAAGTAATTGTTTTAAAATAAAAAGGATTTTGTTCAAAAATGTTCTTTCAGAACTAAAGCTTGTCTCGTTCGAGGCCAGTTTTGAAATTAACTTAATTGCCCCTTTTGTACATTTCATGGGGATGTTTTTATAGCTACTTAATGAACCGCAGGAAAAGTTATTAGATTAAATAAAACTGTAATGTATAAATACAGCAGCAAAGCTTCTGAGGATGTTGGAGAATTTTCTTTAGGAGGCTTTACTCGCAAGACAGACAAGATATTGAATGCACTGGATGTCGCAGTAATGTTTTGAATAGAGTTAGTTGAGGTTTGATAGTAAAAAAAGATTTACGTCCTCCAATTCTTCTTAGTTGTTCTGTTAAGTTGTCTTTTAAGTCTTGTGCGGGGATTCCTAGCCAGACTTCTGTGCAAGTACAGTCCTAAGTATTTGACTTGGGGCGTCGGTAGCCGCAACGGTTTATGCGTTGACACGGCGCTCATCATTGTAAGGTTAAGGTCCCGGGTTCGAAACCAGCGGCCCTGCATTCGAAACCGACATACATACAAATGGGATTTTTTTTTTTCAAAAACACCGGCACCCTGAGATGGGGGACCGCGGTAGCCGAGTGGTTAGCGTGAGAGACTCTCGGCTCATAGACGCCGCGGTCGGATTCCCACCGTCGCCTCTGGCCCTTTTTTCACGATAACCCCCCCCCCCCAAATATGAACACACATACAAGAATTCGCTACCATGGTTAATATGCATAGATCATAAGGCAAAAAAAAAACCGGCACCCCGAGGGTTGATATAACCTCTCCTGTTACGAACCCTCGTAAAAAAAAGTATTTGACTTGAATGGTTGGTAAAACAATAAGAAAGAAAAATTATTATAAAAGTGTAAGAAATCGTAAACCGTTGTGTTTCTAAAGCAATTTAATGAGATTATAACATTTCATAATCATTGCATATAAATTTGTTTTGAATATTTCAGACCTAGGAGAGAAACCTCACCACAGTGATTTTATTATATTCTAACTAAATTATTAACATCTGTTCTCAATGTTAAAAAAATAAATTTGTTTTCATATCTGGTGGAGAAAAGTCGTGCACGGCTACTTAGCGAGGAACGAATGTACCTTCGTTTTGTAAAATCGTTTACGTTCATTTTACAATACCCATCTTCGCGGTTTTGAGATTGCCAGACACATTCCGCCATCTTTGTTGATGTATAGGGTGCGATTTTTATGATAGATCTAAACAGTGAGATGGGTAAACGATACCAAACGTCCCAACAATAGGTTTATCACCCTGCTGGCCAAAAATTTCATAAAATCGATTTATTTCGATAATTTTTTGACATCCTTGTTATTAAAAAATAACAATTTTACTACATCGAAATTCTCTATTAGTCAAGAACAGACTATTTGTCAAGAAATGTCACTTCTAAAGAAATTTTTAAAAAATAAAGTTTATCTGAGGAGTCAAAGAAAAACCGACTCCAGTGTGCTGGATGAAAAAGGCATGCAAGTCAGATATCAAACTTTTTTTTCCTAATTTTTAATATTATATTCCGTTGATGAAATTATCTTAATTGGGAAACAAAGGCATTTACAATCATTTTGGTTTGTCTATCTTTGTAATTTTCGTAAAACAAATCTGTACGTTTTTCAAAAAACTTTGAAAAAAATTAGGTCTAGGAAAATCATCTATCACCAAGCGTTAAGCTGATAAATTACCAAAATTAGTACATTAGCAACGAATTGCTTAATAATAGCTGGCAGCTTTCCTTTCTTTACCAGCACGCAGGGGTCGATTTATCTCCAGTGAATATCCAGCTTTTATTTTTTCAAAATTCTTGAAAAAACGACTATTTTGTAATGCACAATTTTAAAATAAAAATGGTGGATTTGTCCTGTAGGTTGAACCGTAAGCTTGTTTTCAAACGTTTTAGTTCTCTTCCTCCCCGTTTTGTCCTGTCTTGAAAAATCGCACAAATCCATCAATGAGGATGAAGAAAAGCGTCGGTCAGATCACAAAGATTGGAAACAACCAAATTCGAATATATATCATTTTACTGACAGTTAATTAGCGACGTAAAGCTGGAAAATATTTCTTTCTTGTCAAGCAAGTTGGACAAGGTTTTTTATCCACCAACGACCAAGCTACAAACTTCGATGACTTTATCAACAGAAAGACGATCACGGTTTAACTTCATCATTCAGCAAACCGACGAGAAAAATTTCAACAAATTGATTTTTTTTTTTTTTTTAAGTATTGCATTTTAATATTCTTATCTGTTTATTTGTTAACAAAATTACAATTGAACTACTACGAACCAATTTGTTTTAAGTAAATGATAAAAAAATAAAGTTTGTTGGAGATGGGAGGAAAAAAGAATTATCAGCATCTTTATCCGTTATACTGCTATTTTACAATATTGCTGTTCGTTTTTAAAGTGATCTTGATATTTACTTTTATTCCTTATTTGCCCATACTTTTTTGGTTTTTCGTTAACGAACATAAATTTATTTATGTGTAGATTAGCAGAAAACCACTTGGTGAAATCGATTTTGCTCCAAACTATTCGACAAATCCTGTATTTTTAATATTTGTTGAAAAGCAGAAGAGTTTTTTACAGACGGGTAATTTATTTGTTAGCAAACAAACAGGTAAAAATATTTTTTTAAAAATATTGTATTTAAAAAATGTGGTCGATTGCTTAGATCTTTCAATGATTTTAGTCCTCTATGCTGGAGTTTAAAATCAAAATGTTGAATTATTTTTCTATTATTAAATAAATAAATAAAAATAATAAATTAATTAAAACTAACAAATTTATGATTGGAAGTACAGTAAAATTCTTCTATAACGATTCCTGATATAGCGATATTCCGGATATAACGATGTAAAACCGGTATCTAGTTTGGTTTGCTATTTAAAAGTGAAGAAATAAATCCGGATATAACGATTCCGGGTATAATGATATTCCGTATGTAACGATATAAAAACATACGAAAATGTTGTTTTTCATTCCGGCTATAACGATACGCATAAAAAATACGCACATACAACAGTTTTGAGCTGATGANGCGGTAATGAACTTAAAAAATATCAATCTCCATTTTTTACCACCAAACACAACTTCGGTTCTTCAACCGATGGACCAAGGAATAATCCAATCCCTTAAAGTAAAATTTCGCAAACGCTTGGTCTTAAAAATGTTGGATCAGTCAGACAATTTTAAAGTGTCACTACTAGATGCGATCTTAATGATTTGCGATTCATGGGATGAGGTCACTCCAAAAACCATCATAATCATGGTTTTCGAACAGATGAAGCTGGTAACAATCAAGAAGATGAGCCTGCAAATTTTACTCAATGGGCCCAAAAACTCGATTTCAATTTTGACGGTGATGTACAGTCGTACACAGAAATTGATGCTAACATACAAACATCAGAGGAACCGACCGAAGAATCTATAGTGGCATCTATTTTAAATAAGAGCAAGGAGGAGGAGGAGGACAATGATGATACCGACGGCGCCGAAGAAGACTTCAAAATTCCAACAATGTCACAAGTGTACAGCGCTCTTGGAGTCATTCGGACGTACGTGGCCTTAAATGATGATGTGAATAAACCCGAAAACACTGCTTTTTTAAAAGAACTTCATAGCCACGTAAGCAAAAATTTGTACTTAAAAAAATGCAAGCAAACAAAAATTACCGATTTTTTTTAAAGAAAATTAATATGTTGCTTCAATTTGTATATAAAATTAAAATATGTATGTACATAAAAATAAACAGTAAAGTTGTTATCATTTTGAAACGCTTTTTTTTCCCACTAACCTCCCATACCCATAAATTTGTAGGTAGGTTTCATGGTTTGTTTGGTTCCGGTTGTAGCGATTTCCGGATATAACGATTTGTTTTTCTTGGTCCCCTGAAGATCGTTATAACCGGATTTTACTAAGAAATAATATTTATGCTTCAAGAATTTAAACGTACGTAAATTTAATAAGAAAAATTGTATATTAATATATTTGTAAAATGTAAGTTAACTTTTCTAACAAAACGGGTGCTTATATGTTATATATTTTTAATTTAACTTATAATTAGTATAAATTAATTGTCATAAAATATATATTTACAATTTATTATTGCAAATAATGGTTCAAAACGTTGATTTATGATTTTAAGATTGCCAAATTAAATTTGGCTCGAAACAGTTCATGAGGATAAAAAACAAAAAAAATTTGATTTTCACTACGAAAAACTGCCTCATTTCTATCGTTCATTAATATTCTACTTACATTATTTAATACGGAAGATTTTATGCTTATATATTTGGAAAATTTGATTTAAACTTTCTAACACAACTAGGGCGTTTTTAAATACATTTTTTAAATTTAACTGAAACAAAAACAGCATATATTAACTAATATTGCATCAAATATTTCCAATTGTGCAAATAATTGTCGAAAACGTTGATTGATGGTTCAAAATAATCATAACATAATGAAAACACCGATGCACTGTTTCCTCACGACGCAAAACAGTTTAGGATATTTTTAAAAAAATCATGATTCTATCTGTGACGAACTGGCGCATTTCTATGCTTCATACATTTAGAATTATATTTTTAAAAGTTAAAAAAAAAGTTTTCTAACACATCATTTTATTAAAAAACTGCGTTCATAAATTAATTTTGCATCAAATTTTTCCAATTTATTATGCAAACAATTGTTGATTTATGATATTATCCTAAAACTACGGATTTTTTGTGAAAATGTGTCAAAATAATCATAACTATGTGTCCACAGATGAATTGTATGTGTACTATCACTACTCAAAATATATAATGATAGTAAAAATACAACGAAAAATTATGATTCCAACTATGAACAACGTACATATTTCTATGCTTCAATACTATTCTACGTATACTTATTATGGAAAATTTTATGTTTATAATTAAATTTGTAAAGTATGATTCAACCTTTCTAACAACGGGTGTGTTTTTGAATACGTATTTTTATAAATGTAACCGAAAAAGCTCCGTTTATAAATTAATTTTGTAACAAATGCTAACAATTTATTATGCAAACAATTATTCAAAATGTTGATTTATGATAGTCATCGTGCTAAAACAATGGACTTTTGCGAAAATGTGTCAAAATAATGATAATATAATGCAATGAATTGTTTCCTCAAAATTTATTTTAACATCTGTATCGTATTTTTTCCAATCAACGTATGTTTTGTAATTCACCCAGGCCCTGAGGTCGAAACGACGGTAAAAAAAATGAAAATTGTGATTTTCTGAACTATCTCATTCTTGAACGCTCCCCACGACTTCAACAAATTATTAAACAACCGGTCACTAAAAAACCCCATATTTATAATTATATTTGCAAAATTTGATTTAACTTTTCTAACACATAATTTAACTGAAAAAACTGCGTTTATGAATTAATTTAACATTAAATGTTTCTTTATTAATCAAACAATCGCTGTTGTATGATATTATGCTAATTCAATTGATTTTTATCAAAAATATTGCAAAATAAACAAAATTTGTAAAATGTTTACAGTTGTTTTATCACGATTCAAAATATATTACGACAGTCAAATTACTACGATAAGTCATTATTTTAACTGTGAAACCCCGGCTCATTTCTATGCTTCAATAATTTTCTAACGCAATTTAAATTTTAAAAAATATATATTACTAAATAGGTAGCGAAATATTCGAACAAATATTCAAAACGATGTATACCACAAATCTATTTACTAAACCTAAACGTCAGATTTTTCTTAAAGTACTTTTTTTTTAAATATAAATTTTATAAATTTTCAAAACATTTTTTACAACTGAAGGAAAGAAAATACTGATACAAAGAGCAAGAATTTGGTTTTTTAAAGAACTTTAAAAAAGAAAACACCTTACATATTAGCAAATATTAATTTCCTGTTTAAAACCACGAGAAGACAACGCGTTTATTTAAGAAATATTAAAAGTACCTTTTGAATAATAAAAATTCACCAAAAATATTTGTGAAAATAGATGAAAGACAAATTTGCTGTTTACTTTGCAAGTATACAGTGTCAAGTAAAAAATTTTAAGAAGATAAATAACCCGGAAGTGAATTGCATTTCACAATGAATTTTTAGCGAAAAATTTTAAGTTTCAAAATAATCATAACATAATTGTTTACAGATGATTTTTTTATCACGATTCAAAATATATTATGTCAGGAAAATTACTACGATAAATCATGATTCTAACGGTGAAAACCCGGCTCATTTCTATGCTTCGATAATTTTTCAAGGAAATTTAAATTTTTATTACTTAAATCGGTAGCAAAGGTTCGATGCGAACAAATATTTAAAACTAATGAAAACCACAAATTTATTTAATATACCTAAGTTTTCTTAAAGTATATTTTTTAGTATAAAATTTCCAAACATTTTTTATAACTGAATAATATAGGAAGAAAATATTGATACAAAGAGCAGAAATTTGGTATTTTAAAGTTAAAGAACTTTAAAAAGAAAAATTAATTACATATTAGCAAATATTAATTTCCTGTTTCAAAACCACGAGATGACAACGCGTTTATTTAAGAAGTATTTAAAGTACTTAGTAATTTCATAATAAAAATTGATCAAAATATTTGTGAAAATAGATGAAAGACAAATTTGCAGCTTACTTTGCAAGTATATTGTGTTATGAGAAAAAATTGTAAATGGAGAAGTAACCCGGAAGTGAAATGCATTTTTAGCTTAAAATACACCTGATAAATTTCAATAATTTTTCAATTTATGAGATTTCCCTTTAATAGTAAAAATTCGGAATAACATAAAGAAAAATGTATGTTTAGAGGATGGATATGAATAATCGATTATTTTCAACAAATAAAAGCGTAAATTAAAAAGTTACAGTACCTTTAGCAATTTTTTGCCTCCAGTCAAGACTGTTTCCGGACATTTTCAGTTTTTGTTTTTCCAAGGAAGACGACGACTAGATGAAAATGGAACGTCCGAAAAAATTTGATAAACTAGCGGGACGGATCGGAAGAGTCACAGGGACGCCATGTCTTTGATTGAGCCTTCGTCAGCTTCTGGTCTCGTCTTATATAGTAAATAGTACGCCAGGGGACCGCTGTGGAGCGGTGTTTCGTATATACTCAGAAGGACGAGCCTCCGCTCTGCGATTTCATCGGAGACGATTTTCTTTATCGGGCAATTTAAATATGAGGCGATTAGTTCGACAGTGCGCGTGGCCTCGCTCGCCGATAGCAGGTGAGCCTTCATCGCCCAGCACGCTGGACTCGGCTTTTCTCCAAACTACTCGACAAATCCCGTAGTTTTAACATTTCTTGAAAAGCTGATTCATTTTTTATACATATGTAAATTATTTATTAGCAAATAAACAGACAAGGATATCAAAAAAAAATTGTATTAAAAAAAGTGTGTTTCTTAGGTTTTTCTGTAGGTCTGCGGTGTGATGGACCTCAATCTTGGTCATTTTCAATCGTTCTATTCCTCTCTGCTGGAGTTTAAATTCAAAGGATTGTATCATTTTGAAATTAACAAAAAAAAGATAATAAATAAAATAGTATTGGTTTGCCAAGAAAATAATTTTTTTTCGGCCGGCACCACGCGTATATCTTTCTCACATTTTGAAAAATCTGCACTTTCCACTGATAACTTCATTCTAATTGGCTACTCATCGGACGGTTTTTGTTGCATTTCTCTTTGTATCTCTCAACATGTGGTACATTGAGGTATTTGACACATTCGTAATACACATTTATACTAATGAACCTAGTTTCCTAATATTACAGCTAATGTGGAGGTCTTCCATTCGCGCAAATAAATACATTCAAACGGTATGTAAAAATTCCACTCGTCCATAAAACTAATCCTAAGGTTTTTTGACGGGCCTGTGGAGTACTCGATATTCCTCGACGTCCATTCACACAACCTCTCACGCTAATAAATACGATCATACTAGAAAGGACGCAGCATCTCGGAAGTATTACTGCAACCAAGATGCTGTCGACCCTTCCCACAATCATACTAGAAATGTATTATCACTAACATAAATCGGTGAGCCTGTGACTATTCAGTCACAGCCGCACCCATGCATGCTAAACCACTCACGCTAATAAATACGATCGTACAATACAATGGGGGTGAACCAAATGTCGTTCTTGAATTACTGGATTGGTTAGCTCAATATTTACATTTTTGTCTGTATTATGTTTACAAATATACTTGTTGATTCCTTAAATTAAAATGTTTTATTTCTTCTCAGTCTTCAACTTTTTTAATTGTGTCGAATAATTTAATAGGAATAATTTCTTTGGATGAAACGCTTTTAAGGCATTGTTTACTTACGAATTTCAAAAAGGAAACACTGTAACTGTTGCAACTGAAAATTTGTGTACTGTGGTAAATTTTCGTAAAATCTAACGTGGTTTGTTCGATTTAGAATGTTGATTAGATTTTGTTCTTGAAGATGATGTTCGCAGCGGATGTCCATCTGATATTGACAACATATTGAGACATAGACAAGAAGAAAATCCCTTTTTGATGACCAAAGAACTAGGAGAGTTGTTAAATGTTTCCTATACGACAATTGGAAACTAAACCTAAAGATTCGGTTTGTTCAAAAGTACGAACTCAGCGAAAAGAAATTTGGCGGATCGCATCTCGATTTGGCCTTCATGTTTTTGTGATCTTACAACAAATTTCTTTATAGATTAATAACAGATGATGAATAATAAATCACATATGAACGCATAATCAGGGAAAAAAAAGCTTATTGCCTACCCTGCCCAGTTGTTCCAAAACAACAAATGCACGAAAAAAAGTCCACTGTGCATTTGGTGGAACAGGTCCGGCCCCGTGCATTTTGAACTTTTACCACAACGGCAAACGGTTAATAGTCAACTAAACTTAGAATGTTTTGAAAGTATTCAAACAGATGTTTAAACATTCCTGGACTCAAAAGATTTTTATGCAAATGAAATGGACATTATGCTGAAAGTAAAACGTAGTTGCGAACAATGAACAATGCATCTACAAATAGTTAAAAATATGGCACGTATAAAAAAATTAAAAGAAAAAAGAAAAAATGTCGACCAACATTCAGCACATTAAGTCTCCTTTGTATCACACAAAAAAACAGTAAATATAATAAAAAAATCGACAGGACTTAAAATTTTCATAGCAATGATTATGTTCTGGTAAGTTTAGATATAACATCAATGTTTACATAAATACTTATGACAAAAATGAAAAAAATTATTACAAAAAATATGATACAATCAAATAAAACATTAATTTGAATAAAGAAAAATTTTTATAAATCTTAAAATTACGTGCAGAAAATAAATATTTTGTATTTGAGAATAATATATATAAAAAATAGTAGGACTTTCAATGGGTGGATATTTATCACCAATACTAGCTTCGATTTTTATTAATGAATTAATTAACAATATTTTAAAGAGTACAAATATGTTGACGATACAATAATTTACAATCTTAAGGAAAAGTTTTAAAATCGTTTAACGAAGCATATAATTTAATAAAGATCACAATAAAAAAGAAAAAGAAAGTTATATCCCATTTATAGATGTAAAAAATAATAAAATTTCATTTTAGATTGGTATAAAAATTCAAATACAACCAATAGAATAACACACTTTATCCCTCACATTCAATAAAACAAAAAAATAATGTATATAATTTCGTAGATAAAAATTTAAAATTTAATGATATTAGATTTCCTAACAATAATATAAACAATTTAATAAAAACTTTCTGCAAATAATTACCCCCAAAAAACTACCAGAAAAATTTGAAAAAAAAATTAAATTGTTACAGTAACTTAAAGAAAAGTAATAACAATGCCGGTATAATTTTTTTATCTCAAGGAGGATAAAAAAAAGTTTTAAAATCATTTAATGAAGCATACAATTAAATAAAGACCACAATGGAAAAAAAGAAAATTATATCCCATTTCCAGATGTAAAAAATAATAAAAAGTTCATTTTAGATTGGTATAAAAATCCAAATACAAATGTATATAATTTTGAAGATAAAAATTAAATTTTAATGATATTAGATTTCGTAGCAATAATATAAACATTTAATAAAAACTTTCTACAAATAATTACCCAAAAAAACTAACATACCAAAAATTGCAAAAAATTAAATTATTATAGTAGCTTAAAGAAAAATAATAACAATGATGGTATGATTTATGTACAAAGAAAAACAGAAAAAACATCAACAATCCTTAAAAAAGAAAAGGCATAGATAAAAATTTAATTGTATATCAGTATTAGAAAATTAAAATATGGAATTGCCTACTATCTCTATATAAATTTAAAAATAAAGTGTATAATTCTAATATTGTCAGTGACTGGAAGAGCAGAGGAAAACGTATTTGCCTTCTTTGCGTTGAAAATCGTATGCGTCCACTTTTGCAGGCTGAAGAGAGCCCACAGCCTTCCGCAGCTCTTCGATCACAAGCTTCGATTGACGCCGTCGAGGTGAAGGGAAGTAATAAACTAATAACATTGTTAAAGTTCATCGAACACTTCACGTGGGGTGCAGACAGGGAGACCCTCCTGGAAATATTTGGCTCACAGCTGTGCTCGACCTTCTTTTTTGGTTACATGGACTATTCTTCAGCCCAAAAAACGCGCCTGCAGAGGCACTACAGGTCTTCCAGCGGTCTCTGACGCGTTCAGATCAAACCCTTTGGCCAACCCTTGCTGCAAGCTGGGAGTGTGTTCACACGTGGTTTCTTGCCATGGGATAAAATAGGGAGCCACAAAGCCTACTGAACCTTGACCTAAATAGATCTATTGTGCTCCTCTGTTAATTATAGCTCACTGGCCAACTTCAGGTTATTAACCAGCCTCCACAGCTTTGCCAGCGGTTCTTTGGTGTAGGATCTTGCTTGTGGTTTTTCCTGTCCTAATTACAAGAACCTGCACCTACATATACCTCCTCAGAAACATAAAATGTGTTCTGCGGTCTCCTCCTCTTCCTGGCAGTATCCGCATAGTGTTTCTTCTGCCTGTACTCCTATGTGTGCATGTGCTTTCTTAAATGGCAGTGCCCCGTCTGGGGTGCAACCAGAATCCTGGTTTGGTTGCGATTGCCTTCCATTAATTCTTTTGTCAGTTTTGCGGATGGTCCTTCTATGAATCTCTTCGCGTGCCTCATACCTGCGGTATTGTTCCACCAGGTTTTGGACTCATTAAGGATCCATTTTAAGATGGATCCTCTTTTGTGGCAGACTACTAAGCCGCAATAGGGTTCTGGGCCAAGAGAGTCCAGCATGTCAACGTCTTCGTTGCCTCTATGCCCCGAATGTCCAGGGACCCATGCAAGGGTCAGGTCATTAGTGTCGCTGACTTCCGTCTGGGCCTCCATGGATTTCCAAACCCTTTTTGCCCTCGCCTCGCATGAGGCTAAGGCCCTGAGAGCTGCATCGCTGTCAGAGAAAATGGCTATCTTCCGGGAATGTATTCTTACCCTTTTTATTTCTCTGGTACATTGTTCGATCGGTATTATTTCAGACCGGAAAACTGTAGCATACATGCCTAGGTTTACCGCCAGTTCGGTCTTGGGATTCATCCTAAAGACCAAAGGGTTTCTTGCCAAACCGGTTCATCAGCTTTCGGGTGTGATCCTTAGATGCCAGTACAGTAGGATATACAAGCGACTTCAGACCAGGACGCGACCTCAAGGAATACGCGAAGCCTTAGGGATGATGACGCTGGGAACTGTACTCGAGCTTGTTGCAAACCCTACACATTCCATGAATTACAACTCGATCTACATGTGATTGAGTATTATCCCTAATAGATGGAGTGAATGGGATTATAGCTTCCAGAAGGACTTCCTAGAAGAAGGTCCATTGGTCCATTGTGTAATCAGTACGGGCTTGCACATTGATTCCAAGTCATGCCATAACTTACTGTCTTTGAAACGGCTGTGGCTCACTCATGGCACATGAAACAAAGCATTCTCCACACATGTTCATTTGATAGCCAAAAATCAAGCCATCACTCATCTGTGAAGAGAACAGCCTCCATTGTTCAAGCGTCCAAACGAGATGCTGGTTTGCTAATAACCGTTTTTATTCGATGCCTATCCTGTAGTAGAGAACCTCATGCGGGACATCTAGAGACTAAGCGACACTTCGAAGCTTTTTAGTGATTGTTTTAGCTTATCCTTACATTACGTTTGTAGTTGACTACCTACCAAGGTAGCGGTTAAATGACGGTATGCGGTACCGTCATACATCGCAGTCGACATTATCCTCTCTTCGGTCGAGACTTCCCGTGGCCCTA